CGCTGTCTTCGTTGGCGGAGGAGGGCCACACGTATTCGGGGATGAAGGGGGGCCTAACGCTGACCACGAAAGCCGGGGGGGAGGTGAGGTTCCCCCGGACTGGAAAGCTGCTGACCCAATGAGGCTATCAAATAAAACCAACGCTACACACCGCCTGTGCCGCACTCATTGTTCCTGGCGATGCGAAAGCAGCCAACCCCACTGACCTCAACGAGTACCACCTCGCGCACGGCCATNACCCTGGCTCGGCTGTTCGATGTCCAAGGGACAGGTGAAACCCGTCCAGAAGAGCACGAGCACACGCGCAGTTAAGAAGTTATTTCGCATGTACCTCGACTTGGGGGGAAAGATGAAAACCAGGAGCTTTGGTGGCAACTGGTACACACTGATCATCAGAGACGATTTCTCTCATTGGACGCGTGTTTTCTTCTTGAAGCACAAGTCTGACCCAGCGGTTGGGTTTGCGAAGTTCCTGGCGGACTACCGAACGAAAGGGGTTCCGTGTGAGGTTGTATCGCACGTACCGACGGTGGCGGCGAGTTCCAGGGGCAGTTTGCGGAAGTTTGCCGCAGACACGGCATCAAACAAGAGTTCACCCCCCCTCACACGCCAAAACACAACGGTGTAGCGGAGAGAGCGTTAGGGTTGATCACTGATGCCGCGCTTGCGTCACGCATCCAAGCGACGCAACTGTTCCCCGACGCACCGAACCACCCCGGGTTGTGGGCCGAGGCCATTTCGTGTGCATGCCATCAGCTGAACTGCGCCGCCACTAAATCAAACGAGGGAGACAAGTCCGCCTACGAGATGTTCCACGACTCCCCACCGCTTGTCCGGTCTACATACCCGTTTCTCAAACCAGCCATGTTCAAGTCGAGAAGAAAAGCAAAGTCGCAACCCAAGGGCGAAAAATGATGGTACCTTGGTCTTGCCCACAATCACCCCCGTGACTGCGTTCGCATGCTACCCGAAGCTGGAACCGTAATCACCACACGCAATTTCACCTGGCGCCACGTGCCCGCTGCATCGCCCGCTCCCCCGCAGCTGCTACCTCTCGCAGATGACGAGCAGGGCGGGGAGGGCGAGAGCAGAGCGGATGCATCACGCCAAGGTTCGGAGGGGGAGAGAGACTCAGAGAGTGAGTCCGACCTCGACGTGATGGAGGCTCGTGGGCCAGGGCAAGCGACGCCGTTTTTGCGCGAGGAGGCGCCGACGGCACCCGGCAAAGGGATTCCGGGGGACGGAGGCAGCGTTCCCCCGTCGCCCCCTTCGGGAAGGGGCGACTTCGATGGAGGCAGTGACAGCCCCACCGACAGCAGCAGCAGTAGCAGCAGCAGCGGCAGCAGCAGCAGCAGCAGCAGCAGCAGCAGCAGCAGCCCGAGCAGCAGCAGCAGTGACGCCGGCGGTGCCGGCGGCCCGGGCGGCGAAGAGTCCGGCGACCCAGGTGGGAACGGCGGTAGCGATGTTGATCCCGGCGACTCCGAGAACCTCGAGGAGTTGAAGTATGATCCAGCCGACGACCGCTACCCCCGCGGGTTAGAAGGGAAGAAACTCCTCTGGGGCGCCTCGAACGCTGGCCCGCTGCACCATGGGCTTGAGAGTGGCCGCACGCGGAAGCAAACCCGGGAGATGCAAGGTGCCGGGGAGATGTCGGGGCCCGGAGAATCACCGGACCCGGAAGACGCATTGCTGGCGACCATCCTGGAAACTGGCGGGACGGGGATTGTCGAGGACTACATCTGCAACTCGCTTGTGAAGGAGCAGTGGGACGAGGGACAGACACACCGTATGAAGGAGATGTACAGGCGCGAGATGCAGGAGGTGTTGGGCCCGGAACAGCAGGCGTTCGGGGCCGAGGTCGACGCCAGCGGGTCTTCGCAACCACTCCCAGACCCACAGCTAAGGCCGAAGAGAGATGACGAGCCCGCGGTGGATAAGCCTGTGAGGGAGGCGATCGGATGTCTGATGTGGACGAAGCTGACGAGGCTAGACATCGCAGTGCCTCGGAACAAGCTCCAGAAGATCGCCCACTCATCCACCAGGAGGATATGGAACGCGCTTGTGCGGATCATGTCCTACCTGAACTTCACGAAGAACTTCGGCATCACCTACGTACGGGGGTCAGGACTAGACCTAAGCGTGTTTGTCGATGCCAGCTACGCTGACAACGAAGAAGACAGGCGTTCTACGACCGGGCTAGCTGTGACCGTAGGTGGTACCGTAGTGTGTGCATCCGCCAAGTCGCAGCCAGTGACGGCTCAGTCGACCTCGGAAGCAGAGTATATGGCAGCTAGGGAGGGCGTGAAGGAGGCGTTGTTTGTGCGTGGTGTTCTGTCGTTCATAGCACCCGAGACGAGTGGGGCGAAGATCAAGGTCCTTGAGGACAACAAGGGGGCTCTCGCCTTAATCGAGAACCCGTTCAGCTCAGCGAGGAGCAAGCACATCGACGTGCGGTTCCACTTAATTCTCGAGCTATTCAAGTCGGGCAAGATCACTGCAGAGTATGTTCCGACTGGAGAGCAGCACGCCGACATGCTGACCAAGGTCCTTGGCAGAGAGAAGTTAGAGTACCACCGGAAGGCTCTGATAAACCTACCGATGTAGTGTTCTCTTGTTCTGTTTGGTTTATGTGATGGTTTAAGCACTTGGCATATATGACCATGGTACGTCACGCAGGAAGCGTTGTGCCGGCGCGTCACCCGCGGCTGGAGCCTAGAAACGCCGAGAGCGTTGCTTCGGGTGTGAAATCAGCGTGACCGGTTCAATCTGTCCTGCCTCGGTCTTGTCTTGGAAGTGCGGCCGTTGAAATCTCCGTGATAGCGACGGTTTTCTCTATTTAGGGTGTTAGACGAGGGCTTTTGATCCGGTTGGCCGGGTTTTCCCTCGAGCCTGTTGTTGTTTTGAGTCCCTTTGGTAGATCAGGGGTGTCGATGCCCCACGTTAGGTTTGCCATTCGCGTGCAAACCGAGGAGGGTGTTCGTGTGTCTGGATACCGAATGGTTAGATCTACCGGCAACAACAGAGGGCACGCAGATGGGGCATATGTACACCTAGAAATGGTTGCATGTCCGGGGACCCCTCGAACTCCAAAGCGGGCTTCACTTCTCCCTACTCCCCTGGCGTGTATAATACAAGAGATAAAACGTCTTCCCCGTCCAAGTAAAGGACGTATACGAACAGGACCTGCGGGTTCATGGTGCACGTCCCGCAGAGACACGCTTGCTTTTCATGTTGGTAAACTCGTGGCTTCTAGGAAAATATGTTGTATTGACGAGACCTTGGACCAGGAGAACAGGTCAAAAGGTGAAGTGAGCGAGGGTGTGGGGCCAGCACCGCAGCACCGCAGCACCCCAACACTATCTTGCCTGTTTCGTCTACTTTCCATTTGTAGACCCATCTAGCATCTATCACGTTACAGCCTATCGAGGCCTTTACTGCTAACGCGAACGTTCCTGCTCTTAACAAGCCTTCTACCTCTGCAGGCATGGCTTTGTCCCAAATCACGGCATGCTTTGACTGGCGGGCTTCTCGGTAGCTACCAGGCTCTGTCTCTACATCCTGAATGAGCTCTCTCGGCACTTCCATAGTATCAGACGCTCTCTGCTCCACTAAGAGTGCTACAATTTCAGATGCGGAGATAGGTCCTAGAGTGGCCACGAGACCGGATACGCTCTCCTGGTTTACGGCCCGAGTTTGCGCACGGGTTCTGCCACTTCTAACTTCATCGTTCTGATTCGCAGCAGTGTTGTAACTAGCAAGCTCATGCTGCGCACGACGATTAGATGTTACGTGCGTAGCAGGGGGAAGTGTCTCCGATTCTACCTCCTGCCCTCCCGGCTCCACGAACTCTTCATCCAACCCTTCCTGACTCTCCGACTCTACCTCCTGCCCTCACGGACCTGCCGATTCTGTCGCCCCTGTCTCCGGCCCTCCCTGCTCTCCCTCATCGGTGAACTCGTCTGCTGGAGAAGACACAGGGGGAGCTGCGCTACTAGGAGAATTAATCGCGGGCGAAGATGGCACAGAGGGGGATTGGCCTACACTGCCTGCATCAACATTGCCAACCTCATCGATTTCTCCGTCAGAGACCGCTTCATCACGTCGCAGAAGAATGTGGGATACTCTTCTTCCTACAAGCAGCCATACCTCGGCTTCTACATCATCGTCACTTTCCTCCCCTCCGTGCTACCTCTATCGGCAAGAGAGATGGTTGCGGTGGAGGAAGTTGTGACGGCAATGTCTCCCATGTCACATCCCTCGTTTCTTGAATAGTCCCTGCCCTCGTAAGTACTCTATGACAGTCACGCGGGTGGTCTCTCGAAGGACCGACATAAAAGCAAGTCTCACCCTTCGGCAGCAGCTTAGACGGTCGCTGCCACCTACAGTAAGCCGGTTTCAAAAACGGTAGCTTCGCCATACCACATCTCATACGGGGACTGGCTGTCTGGGTTAGCGGAACAAGCTGTGTGGTTAAGTGCTTCGCAAGCCCAGTGCATGGCCTCAGCCCAGAGTCTGTCAGTCTTAGGTAACTGCACATGCCCAAACAAAACCTTCGCCTGAATACGAGCCGCCATTGCAGCTGCCTCAATCAATCCCAAACCACGCTCTGTAACATCGTTGTATTGTGGACTGAAAGCCGGGGTGAACTCTTGCTTTATCAAGAGCTCATTGCACACGGACGCAAATTCCCCTTCGAAAAACTCCCCCCCATTGTCAGATCTACCAATCTCAACCAATGATGGTCGGTTTCATCAGCACGCACACTAGCAAGGAAACTTCTGAAAGCACCCCCAGCGTCTGATTTATTTCTCAAGACATACAGCCATGTACGTCTAGTGAAATTATCCTTCACTATCATGGGGTAATGTTCACCCCCTACGGACGAAACGTCCTTCCGTCCTCCCAGGTCAACAAAACCTCTGCCCAACGTTTTGTCTGATCTGCGTTTAGTTTCATGAGCAATCCTTTGAATGCCTCCGACATCGAACATCCCGTACACGCATGAATTTCACCAGTCGACTCAATACCCAGTGGCTTTGCAGTTGTTCGAAGCAATCCCTCATGACTTGTAGCGACCGACGTCCCGGTGAGAATCATGAAATTACCCTAGATCTTGCCAACATGCGCGCGCACTCGAGGGGGCCAGCTAGGATTATCGTGGCGGCCGAGCTGTCCAACCGTTCCCGCGAGGAGTTCGCCTCTGGCAAAAAACACGCGAATTTCGCGAAGATTTTCCCGCACCGACGCAGTCACGGCATATTTACCAATGTGCGCGCTATAACCCGCCCGGATTCGACGGCGAAGCGTGGCCATTGGATTAATAACGAAGGCAAATCAGTACCCCCTCGCCCACCGCACCCCTCAGCCGTTTAGCAGGCCCGGGCGCTCAAGACGTTGCTTCAGAATCCGTCGACAGCCGCCTTTCAACCCCGCGAAGACCGGCCAGTACATCCCGCAAGCGACGCCTTCCAACCGCCGGCTCGAGCGAGAGCTCCAGAGACGATCCGTCTGACGGAAGGAGCAGTGACTGCAGCAGTAGCACCGTCACGAAGAGCAGCAGAGGCAGGGACGGCGTGAAGACGCCCTTCGACATGGCCAAGCACGTCTTCCACCTGCTCTTTCTAGAGGTGGACTTGGACCGGTCCGGATGCATCGACAACAAGGAGTTCGGGGAGATGCTGCTACAGCTGGGGAAGAACATCGGGCCCGACGTCGCGCGCCACTGTATCGTCAGGTGCATGCGGTAGAAGGGCATCGCTCGCGCGTACTGCCAAGGGCTAGGGGCACACGCGTTCGACTTCCGAGGGTTGCTTGCTGCGCAAGTCGTCCAAAGCGTTACCATTTCTTGTTGAGAGTTGGTCGCCAGTACAGTAATGGTTCTGGTCTAATTACGGTTGAATAATGTTGGTTGCCCTGTATATTATTGCCGGTGAAATCGCGTGACACGGATGGAATGCTCTAGTTGTTTCAAGCGCTGAATCAT